ACGGGCGAGTGTGGCCCAGTTTTACGCCGAATTGAAGCAAGCGACAACCGAATACCGCGCCGCGGCCAAGTGGTTTCTGCATCGGTCAGTGGTGTATGTAGTAAACCCTTGTCGTCGATTGAAACTTGTGTGTATCTATATTGTGAATTCGCTATACACTTTTAAAATTCGCCTGGTTTTGTCTTATCAATATGGAATCACGCTGGAGTTCTGATTGGTTGAATATACTTGTCCTTTCTGCAAGAGCCAATCAAATCCACTCAAAAAATGGATTAGCCAATAGCGTCGATTTGTGACTATTCGGCGGCGAGTTATTCGATTTGACGGGATCTGGAAATTCGTATCGAATGCACAATATATATATATATATGTATATATGTATGTATGCAACGTCGTTGATTGTTGTGTGGTTGGATGGCTTCTATACATATTTATATATTTCATGGCCATCTCAATTATATATATGTAACGCCGTTTGAACCACCCACGGTCTGAAATACATTCATCTATATATATATATATATATAATGGATATATGTAATAAAGTTTGAACATGGTATTCGTGAAAGGAGGACTACGACCGACGCTCAGCAAGTGTATATATAAATATATATATATATAGCATGTGCTAGGTTGTGGTTGATAGCTTGTGGTGATATATATATTTTTGTAGCCATGGCAACGCGGTGTCGCAATGGGAGGAGCAGCTGCAGCTCCCGGTCGTGGACGAGTCCAAGCTTGCGAATGCGTTCACGATGCCTCTGCCTGTCGACGGCCGGGAGAATCTGCTTGTTGTGCTTCAACACCACCTGACGCTGTTGCGTACCAAAGTACGGTCTGTGTAGTAGTAAAAATGGATATTTATGTGCCAGTGACTCGCCAAAATCCGTGATCGATCGAGATGGTGTGACTTGTATATGGATTTGTATGTATGAACTGTCCAGTGTCACACTATTACAAGTCACACACGACTTCGATGTGGAAACGAGAATGAATTGATTGGCCAATGGATTCGTGATCTGGGTTTTGATTGGCCGATAAAATAAGGCAGGTCGTTTGATTAAGAGCATCCAACTCGAATTTCGAATCGAATTGACAATATCTCATACGATTATTGTCTATTTGTCCAACATGACTGTATTCTATCGCGGTATTTTTTTCTGTAGCTAATATCTCAACGTCCGTGCAGTTTTTTGTGCGATCTGGTTGAATGGCGTTGATATATATATATATATATATTTCGAACGCAACGACACGTTTCGACCATGTGTGGATGTTACTTTGATATATAAATCATCAGTACATTGGTAAATAGTAGTACTAGTAGTAGTACATGTAGTAGTACTAGACAAAGTTCCTCTGTACATTTGGTTGTGTCGATCCATCCCTTCGGCACGTAGTCCAGTTTTGAATAAACAAAACAATATATATATATATAT